GTACCCAGTGGTCATGGTCGCGAACGCATGGCCAGCGTTGTTCCTGTCGGGTTGGGGGTTTGAGTCCAGCTGCCATTGAAGATCCGTCATGTGGAAGGGCTGTTGTGTAGTAAATCAGTCGAGGCTTAAATTCCTCATTTTGGTGTTGTATGGAAGTTCGGAGAGGTGAGTGCCAGCTCAGGTGTCGTCCTCGTCATTTGTCTGTGGTTCAAAATTACGATGTCCGTCGCTAATAGCCCTCGTGTTGCTTTATTGTTCGAGATTAATGCTCACTCATTTGTCGAGACTCCAAAGCCTTCATTTCGTTGTGTAGAATGGAGGGCCATCTCGGTCGTCGTCCTCCTCGCTTAACAATTATTCAAAAATTCGAGGCCCTCCGCCAATGGACTTACTTCATGTGACGTCATAGTCACATGATAATGCTATTCACGGGATTCTAGTCATTCAGTTCAAAAACTCATGTGACGTCATAGTCACACGATAAAAGCTATCTTGTGTTTCCAGTTAATCAGTTCACACGCTCTTCGTCGTTGCCAACTTTTGCTCTTTGCAGAAACTTTCTCTTAAAAATTGCACATGCATACAAAATGCATTTTATTTAAAAGTACATACATAAAATAAAAGAATTTTTTTTAAAATTAAAAAAAAATCTTTTTTATAGCATATTTTTATAGCATTATAGACATTTTTTTAATAACATTTAAACTTTTTTTTACCTAATTATGATATTGGAAATTTTACCCAAGTTTTACCAATAGAGCAACAAGTAAAATTACTTTGATGTCTGTTTTGAATTCAATGTAGAACACGTGTTTGTCTTTATCATGTGACCGTCATGAATTGAGCCGATAGCTCTTACATTGCTTCTGAGAGTGACGTTAATAAGCATTCAATCAACCTGATTGTTGGAATACTTTTATGCGATCATTACTTTTCTAATTAAAAGTAAAGATGATGCTATATAACCACAAAGTCTTTTGAACTTCGAGGCTCAGAAAGTAATGTTTTTCCTGATCATACTTGTCTGAGTGTCTAAAGAAAAAGAATACCGTAATTCTTAAAACATAAATTTTTTTCTATAGGTCTCTATAATTTCGATTTAGTGGTTTTGAGAGGCCCCCCCCACACACAAGGTTTTATATAACAAAGGAGGATATGCCTCACAGTGGTATATCGGCGTGCGCCAAAAGTGGCGATGTCATGATTTTTGAAGTGGGTTTATGTCTCCTCTCAAAGAATCGGACTCTATCATTAAATGGTGATGAAATACTTAAATGGAATTGAGGTCCTTTTACCATCACGAGGGCCTAATATGAAAAAGTCTGCCTCCAATTCACCTTTAACTTCAATAAAAACCTTAAAAGACCCTTCCCAGCATTACTGCCACAGTTTAATCAGTTATTTTGAAGCTTTTATTAAGATCAAAATTTACCAAGTTGACCTCTAAATGGTGCTTTATTGCTTATTTTCTATAACTCGTGGCATTAGTGTTGCTGATCTCCTCTGAGCCTCCTGAAATCCTCTAGGGCGTTTATTGTCGGAAATATCTAGCTGTCTGAGGAAGCGAAAGTGGGAAGTGAAATCCGTTAAGTAACTACTCCCAACTTACCGAGTTCTTTAGCTTCCAAATTATGAACGCCCCTGTGTGCATTCTTCTCTTCAGTTCGCCAACCTCCTCAAAGAGGTCAAAGTGCCCCAAACTTTTCAACCACGATGGGAACAATTGCTGCCAAATTGATTTCCATTTTTGGTTGTTTACTTTTTCCATCGTCTGCTTTTTTTTTACTTGATTCCTAGTCTTAGCACTTAATCGTTGGAGCGTGACGTTTGATCTTGGGAGCTACGCTTGTCGGGTTTGCTCATCACGTGCGACACGAAGGGTGGAAT